CTAAAGTTTAAAGCAGAAGTCAGCAGAGATCTTTGGATATCGCTGCTTCTTAGCGGTAGCACAAGTGTAACTGGTGTAAACAGACACATTTACACGTCTGGGTTTCTTACCACCGCCGCTGTGCTGAAGGGAGGAGAATCCTACTTACTTCTATGACTCCTGGGATACACGTCAGGGTTGTGAACTCGTAAGACGCAGCTTCGCTGGCAGTTGAGGTCATTAAACTCAAAAACGTGGACTGAAATGCAAGAGATCAGCATCACTAGAGATACGCAAACGAAAGAGCCGGTAAACGTTCCGCAAAACAAGCAACACCAGAGCGTCCCTCCGCTTTTAGAAGTCGTGTTGCGGCTGTTCCAGGCACGGGGACTGGAGCGGTGATGGGACAGCCAGCGCCTTCGCTGAACGAAGGTAAATCCTGCGCTCTCAGCTATTTTCTCAGCAGTGCTGTGGCTGGGCAAGACCAAGTTTCAGGCCGTCACCACAGGGCACCGCACACGAGACGAAGGAGTGTTTCCCCTAGCTCTAACTTTCAGCTCTCGGCGTGCAATAATTTTCTGTCAAGTCATGGCAAGATGGTGGAAGACGAAGAGAAGATGGCTACCTGCTTTACAGCCACTGCTAACCACAAACCAGGAAACACACGCGCCACGTGGTTAACGTAGACACTCACTGACCTTACCCACAGAAGGAAAACCGATCAGCGCCACCCGGGCATCTCCGGATTTCATCACATCGAAGCCTTCTCCTTTAGCGGCCGAGGATTTGGAGGGTTCTAGCAACTGAGCTCTGTATTTTGCAAGCTTTGCCTTCAGCAGGCCGAGGTGGTACTCAGTGGCTGGAATAAAACAAACGCAACAACCAGTTGACAGAAAGTTGCTGATAATTCACTTCTAGAAATAAGAACCTTCCTAAAAAGAAACACTGTGGATCTCGGTCAACGTCTTGACCGCCGCCACACAAGCTACCCCCCAAGCTGTTCCGTAACCTTTTGAAATACTGGGCAAACCTTCCAGTAACCCGCACAGAAAGTCAGACTCGAGGTAAATAAGCAGCCAAAAAAATCCCGAGCAAAAGGAGCGAGTCAGAAGGGAGAGCAGGCGCAGGAACGAGCGGGTGAAGGGAGGCAGCTAAGGAGGGAGAGGTGACGGGGGGAACAGCCGCTCCCGGGCAAAGGCCCCTCCTTACACCCGCTCACATTCAGCACGCCAAAACCTCAGGATTTTTCTCCCCTGCTCTTGTCAACTTTTAAAGACGTGTTTAACTCGGAGCTCACGTGCGTGAAAGTACTTTATTGACTTATTCTTAGCAGAACACTTGAATTTACACCTGATACAGAAGGAAAAAAAAAAAAAAGAAGATAGCTGTTCCTGTAGAAGTTCCCTTTGTAACAGGGAAGGGCAAGAAACCCAGGAGATTACAGGATTTACTATTTTTCCTTTCCATTATCTACCACAGCCTAAAGCCTCCAGAAGCAGCAAGGCGCTGGGCACCCGCTCCAGCAGCGCCCGCGGGAGCTCTGCTCCCCAGTCCCCTCTTCGAGTTAAGGCATTTAAACACCAGCTCGGGGACCCCACAGCAGAGAGCCCTGGACACCCCCCCCCTCCCCCCCGCGCCAGCAGCACTTGGGGCCCTTGGCCCAGCTCTGG